GTGCCTACTTTTGAGCCACAGTAATGGAGCAGAGAATGGCATGGTCGAAAACATTCACTGTCTGGCCAACTACAGAAAAAGGTTACTGATGCTCGACTTACATCATCTCTTTATCCTTAGTTATTTTCCACACAGATTTCTTTTATTGAAGAATTTAATAGCATGTCGTCACTATCATTTTGAACACCTCTTCACCAAGACTTTAAAAATATAAAAAGTAAAGCCTGGAACATGAGTAGTTTCCATTTTCCCTATAAAGTGTGACTCTTGGTATTCTCTACTCTGCAAGGTTTGTCAAGTCAGATGTTTTCTTCAGTAGCTATTAGTAGCAGAATCCTCTACTGAGTTCTGTGGGTAAACAAGAGGCAATGATCCTTATTCTCAGAAAATTTAATTTTTGAAAGGGAACTTTCATTTCATTTCCCTATGTTTCTTTGTTTCTGATGAAGTATTTTGTTTGGTTATTCTAGTTTTAATTGTAAATAAATGAGCAAATTAAGACTTAGTTGTTTTTTATTGCAAGTACTTGAAGTAAAAATTATCTTAGAATAATCATTTGGCTGCAAGAGACAATAATTGATTTAAGCTGGTTTAAGATGGGAGGTTTGTTTACTACATGGAACTGGGTTATTTTAATTGAACACAAAAGTAAGAAATTCAACTGAGCAAAAATCATCGGGAACCATGATGTTTTTTAAGTCGCATTTTTCACATCGGTCTGTCTCTTATCTTTGGGTCTTCCTCGACTCTCTTCTCTGCATCTCTTTGCATTTCTGCTTCATTCTCCAGCTTCCCACCAGCCTGCTCCTTCTCTGCCCATTAGTTACAAAAAGTCATTGTAAAATTGCAGCCTCAGCCAGGAGTCACTTTACTAGATCACCACCCACTGCCAGCCGGAACCGTCGTTCTGTGTGCCATGAGGGCCTCCAGAGATACCGAGTCAGGTGGTCATGCTTGTCCGGTCAGTTAGGGCTAAGGAGGTGGGTCCTCAGAGCAAGCTCTCTGGGAAGGGACGGGGAGGTTCGTCATCTGGCATGTGCAGTTAGCAGTGGACGTGACTGGCCCCACTAGTCAAGCAGTGCTGAGCGGTCCTACTGCAGTTAGCTGACCAGTGTACACGAACTGTGGAGTTCACCTCAACCTACAGAGCGAAAACCACTGTCAGAATTCTTTGTGAGCAGTATATAAAAAAGAACTATCAAGCGGTAGTTTGGGAAATGCCATTAAAGGAAATCTTAAGCAACAATAAAATTTCATTCATAGTTCTAGCATTGTAATCCAAGTCTTCAAGTGTTTCTATTGCCAGGCTTTTTCATAAGCACATGGGAGGTTTTGGTCATAATCATAGAATTTTCTGTTCTTTTTTCATGTAATAATAATATCCTGTTTTTCTGTGTGTCCCATCAAGTAGTTAATTATAATTATAATAGTTCACAGTTGTTCACAATTATAAATAGCACTCCAGTAAACTACTTTGGGACTAAATCATTTTGCTTCTTTTGAGTTCTTTCCTCAGGATAAGTTTCTAGGAGTGGAATTAGTGAGCCCCAAAAGTATATGTTCATTTTTATGATTCTCAATGCATAAAATAAATGCTGCCAATGGGTAAAACACAGTAAAGTTGTGTCCGTAGATATTTTTAATGGACACATGTTTTTATGTTTGCTGTATTCATTCTCTGCCAGATGACAATGAGGGGAGCAGCAGCGATACCGCCCCTCTGTTCCAGATGGCGGGTGATGGGAAGGACACGGATGACATCAAGATTCCCATGCTCTTCTTATTCAGTAAAGAAGGAAGTATCATCCTGGATGCCATCCGGGAGTATGAGGAGGTGGAAGTGCTCCTTTCGGACAAAGCAAAAGATAGAGGTGAGGGTAAAAATTCCTTGCGTTGGATGCCACTGAGCATTGGCTTTACTAGTTTGATAACAAAAATGAGTTATAGAAAGTTATTTTGGAGGCACTGGTAAAATAAATAAAATAGAAGATGGTTTCAAAATAATACTTTTCTTTTGGAAGTAAGAGTTGCAAGACATTTATTTTGCTCTGTTTGCTGACTTAGGATGCTTTTAGAATTATGATTTTTATACGTAATTTATCACTTTTGCTATGGCCCTGCGCAGTGATAAAAATACAGGGGGATGTATCAGGAGAGTCCATTTAAATAGTCACACATGTTCACCATTCAGTTCTGCTGATACTAGATTACATTTCTTTTACAAGGAATAAAATGAGATGGTATTGAGTGGTATTATATACAATATAGTAGTAGTCGGGTCTCAGCAGGCCACCGATAATCAAATGACCACTGTCTTGTTGAAGGCAGGACAAATATAGCAACTTCTATCCGCTGAGGTGTAAGTTTATCACATAGGGATTTATAAGTTATAAGAGTTACAAGTGGCTGATGTCTGAAGAACATGCCTTAATTCATGATAATATGTAGTCCTCTCTGGGCCAGAATGTTTGTTAGTTATTTGAAAGCTGTTTGAAACCCGAATTATTTTATAAATGGCAGGTCTTACTGGTATTATCGTATAGTTTCACACCCAGGGATAGTGGAGAAATGAGGGAGAGTGAACCGGCAGATGCAGACTCCCATCCTGCTGATGGGCGCAGCGCCCCCTGGCCTACTGGAGGCACCTGGGGGCGAACTCTACTTCCCCTATTACCTGCAGACGCCTAAAACTTGTGTGATTGGTGCAGGTTGTTGAGTCCTGTGGGATGTTTGTTTCACAGATATGTAGGGAACTGATTCAATTCAGTGTAACTTCCAAATGAAACAGTGAAAAAACAAAAAACGTTAGCAGTAATCTAGTGCTAGCCAAGTCAGTGTTTTGTCTTGTCTTCTTATAGTGCTTTATTCTTCTTTGAGAACCTTTCAAGTGTCAGCTATTTAAGAGCAATGGAGTGGGACGTATGTACATAAGGATGTATAGTTGGAAACAACAGAATAGAAAGGATTTCTAATCTTAAATCCTCCTGTGTTTGTGGTTTTTTTTCCCAAGTCCTTTTGCTCAACTCAGATCTTTCCTACATCTATGCATTTATGCACATCAAACACAGGCAAATTATTATTCCATATAACTCTTTAATGCCTTTGCTTTTCTCCCCCCCTATTTTGTGCTACCATTGGAATTTCAGCAGCAATATTAAAAGGTAAAATGATTCCAAGCTACATTATTAATAGTAGTAAGTATCTTGCATTATTAAGCCTTAAATGATATATATGTATGTGTGTACGTGTATATATCCACACACACGCATATGCAAATATATATATGTATATATAATTGTGTTTCAGTGGATACCATGATAATATCTGGTTTAATGTAATTAGATTACTTTCATATCTAGTCAGCTGTCCCACAATAATTCTTTTTCAATCCTCTCATAACAGATCCTATGAATTATATATCCATATGATAGATGAACTCACTAGTCCGTGTCCATGCAAGAGTCAGTCTAACAAAGATATCGTTGTTTTGGCATGTATTACTTTTGATCACTTTTATTTGAATACAATATAAAGTATTTAAAATATCGACTTGTTTTAGAAGTTTGTATGTGTGTAGGGATGCGTGGAATTAGGACTACGAGATCATAGTAAAGCATGTGCTTCCCATACTAGAGAAGGAATGTGAGAAAAGATAGATTCTACTACAGGCAGTGGCCCCTCCTCCGTGGGGCATATGTTCCAAGACCTTACCCCCCCCCCCCCCCCCCCCCCCCCCCCCCCCCCCCCCCCGCCCAGTGGCTGCCTGAAACTGGATAGCATACTGATCTGGATATATGCCATGTTTTCCTATGCATACATACCTGTAATAAAGTTTAATTTATAAAGTAGACACAATAAAAAGTTAATAACTAATAATAAACTAGAACAGTTATAACAATATACTGTAATGAGACTTAGGGGAATGTGGTCTTTCTCCAAATATCTTATTTTGCTACACTCCTCCTCCTCCTCCTCCTCCTCCTCCTCGTGGTGATGTGACATGATAAATTCCTACATGATGAGATGAATGAGGTGAATGACGCAGACGCTGGGACAGCATTAGGCTGCTCTTGACCTTCTGATGCTGTGTCAGGGGAAGGAGGATCATCTTCTTCCTGACCAGGGTTGTCTGCAAGTAACCAAAACCTCAGAAAGGGAAGCTGTGAATAAGGCGGGGGTGGATTACTGAACAAAAGATATTATCTGAACGGTATTCTTTTAAAGACCTTGCAGTAAAAAGCCTTGACTTAAATTATATGTATTTTCAAGTTTTGCTGGTCTCTAAATTTGTTGAACTGTGATTCTGAGTAATCTTTTGACACAAAGTCTTGCAAAATTCTCTTTTTTGTGTAGGTCTTTCAAGAACTGTACAACTATATTTACTAAATCAATGGAACAAAATTATCAATTTTGTAACAAAAAAATCAGTAATAGTTTTAGTAAATCAACTACTTCGTTCAGAATACTAAGGAAAATATCCTAAGAAGTTAACGTTTGTCGTGGTTGTCATTAATTTGTCCTGTGCCATTACTTCATGTGTCAGTGTTTTCCTTCTGCATCACAATCAGCTGATGTACTTGTTACAAGTGTAGATTCGGGAGTCTTACTCCAGAATATTGAATCAGACTCTCTGAAGGCAGGGGACCAGAATCTGACATTTTAAACAAGCATCCCAGGTAATCCCACTCAGCCACGCTTTGAGAAGCACCGAATAGCACTAAAAAGGCCCCCTTTTTGTTTTTTGGTTTTTTTTTAATCTCCAGCATTGTCTGAGCCATATTGTACCATCAAGGGTACCAGGTAGGATTGTATAAGTACCCCAAACAATTAGCATCCTTAAAATCTGAACAGTAAAATGTCCTCCAGATAGCCCTTTAAAAATCTCATTGCACAAATCCATACTTCCTTTATAAAGTCATGCAGTTTGGATTGAGCAGTTCTTCCCACATGTTAATACAGAAAATAGAAGCCCTAGAACAAGCCCCCATTCCCACTGTTACCTTCTTATTCGGAGAAGCCCCAGCCATTAATATCTGCAGCAGTCCTGTCTAGAAGCAGAAATGTTCAGGTATCTTACTGCATGTTCTTCAGAAGTAAAGCTTTTGTAATTTATCAGGTGGAAGTGTTGCTTCCTCAGGTCAAAGCAGTCATATCTCTAAAAGTTAAGTAATCCACAGACGATTTAATATTAGGTCTCTTGTGTGTGCCCCACCTTCCCAAATTCTGAGAGTTCATAAAGGTACTTGGTAAGTCCCACCCCGTGTTCGCAAACAAAATACACTGTGCTCTTCCATTTAGGTCAAAAGTTCAAATAGTTTATAATTAAGAATCCATTTCCTTTTCTCAGTGTTTTCAAGGGGGCAAAGAATGAGAGTTTTAAAGGTTCAATACATCATCATGCTTGCAGTTTACAGTGTAGGCCTATGGTACCTTAAGAGCTATAGACGGATGTTTTCAGGGCTGCTCCTGTATTCATGTCTGCTGATAAAGAGCCAGACAGCAAGTGGGGGAAAGAGAAGAAAGGTGCCATGGTTTGAACTGCTCCAGGCTTAAGTCTGGCAGTGTTACTTTTCCTAAGATTATTTCCCACTGAACTTGATTGGGGCTAATCTGCCCTAAATTTGAACTGTAGAATTTGGGTTGCTATTGGGAAGGATTTGCTTCTGAGGGGAAAAAAAATATATAGTATGTATGCAGAATGCCTCTTTGCCTGGAGAGGAGCATCTGAAACATTCTATTAGGCAGAATTGATACCTGCCCTCCTTCTACAGCCTGGCCTGCTTTCTCGTGCATTTTTGCATTTGGACATCTCTTCCCTCTTTCTGGAAATGCTCATCAATCCGTGTCCCCACTCTCATGGCCCATTTCCTCTTTGAGGGCATTTATCCATCTTGCATACCCAGTTTAAGTCCCACCTTCTTTATGGAATTTTCTCTTATTCTCACAGGTAAAATTTAAAGGTGTCTTTTTAACGTAGTTCTGCTTTGACACTCCTACCCCATTGTACTTCTTGACCTGCTCTCATCTCTGTATTCTTGTTTCAGCAAATGCTGGTTGTCCAGACGAAGAAATGATTGAAGAACATCCAGTCTTTGCCAAGGCTTCCTTGTCCTTTTATCATGAAAACCTAATAATTTTCTTGTCTTTGTATCTTGAGATTTTCTTCATTCTTTTTTTTGTTTCCTGTTTTTCTCCTTTACTATTCCTGAATTTTATCACATAGTTGCTAATACTCTTAGGACTCTGATACTCCATGCCGGTGCCGTCAGGCACCTTAGAATAAATGTATGTAGCAGTGTGGCAGACACGAACTCCTTCCTTCGTTTTTCTATTTCTCCATCTGCCATTTTACTGTCCTGATTGCTGTGTCTTTGCTATATATCAGCTCTTCTCATAGATTTCATGTGTTTCCAGACCTGCACTTCTTTCCCACTGATCTGTTTGTTTACTCCTATGCCAATAGTACAAGTTTGCTGTTTTGAGTGCATTTTGATATCTGATAAGGCAGCTCTCTTCTCACTCGTTCTTTTTAACATTTCTTCACTTCTCATTGATGTACATTCTTCCATAAGAACTTTTAAATAGTTCTGTCTGATCCCAGAAGAAAACAAAAAGAAGCTGCATGCTTTACCTTGAAGTAGGAAGTTTTTGTTAAATATTAAGGCAGGAGCATACACTTAGCTGCAAATATAATTAGATATCTTGTCTTATGTTTTCATTGAGATTTTATAGTATTAAGTAATATGGTCTTGTTCCTTTCATAGTAAGTTTTATAGGTTTTTACTTTTATTGTGAAAATGGTACTTAATTTATTTCTAAGCAGTTGTTACCATAGAGAGGTTATTTGCCTATGTATCTTATTTTTACCCTACTTATCAAGTTCTTTTTTAATGGTGTTTTTTAAAATTAAGAGTTGCTTTGAGTCTAAGCATACAACACAATTAAAAATACAATTTCATCTTTTCCTGTATTTACGCTGACTCTTATCCTTTTGTGTTAGCTAGATTTCCAAAATAATTTTACATAATATGTATTCCTAGGGTACTTTTTGCCAAAGCACAATTTTTATTACTAGACGAGACCACGCTATGCCCTTTCCTATCCTTCCAAAACTAGATTAATACAATTCTAGACAAAAACTTGAAGGTTTTCTTTTTGTTTTCCCTTGAACTTAGGGTAGCCTAGTGTAAATAAGCACTAAGCAACCAATTTCCGCTTTCTCTTCTTTGGTCCCCACCGTAGTTTTCCTAATTGTCAAATTCAAGTGTATCTTTTCCACAGCCTAGGAGAGAGTGTGGAGACTTCCCCAGCCTACCCACCTCCCGCCCGCACCCCAAGAACTTAAATTTCCCTAGTCAGGTAATCCTACTTATTAATCAGAGTGCACGTAAACACACCTGTGTATACCTTCCTGCATCCCTGTATTTCTTTTAGCTTTTCTGGTTTTATGAAAGAAGCCTTCCTTCTTTGACTGAGGAGATCTACTTTTAAATGTGAGCTCAAGTGTCAGTTTCAAGGAAACTGGAAAGGCTCAAGGAAAGCCTCAGCTCTTCCTGTTCTTTCCTATTCCCTGTACGCTTTCCTAGCAACACAAAACATGTCACAGGTAGGGTTTTCCATTTATTTCGTGTGATTATCTGGAAATAATAATCAGTCCAGTCCCAACTGGACTAAAAGATCCGTCAGGGCAGATCTGGTATCTGTTTTTGCCTCAGGTTCCCCCCCAGCACCTGCACAGTGCCTGCCCCACAGAGGATCCTCAGGACTTGCTTGCTGGCTGAGCACAGAGACTGAGGATGAGGCAGCATGGGCCGTCAGTGCTGGTGAAGCACTTTCTTGTAGGAGCCCCACATAGAATGCTGCTAGTGGCTTCATTGTATGTTCATTACAAGAGGTTCAACCTACTGTTTAGCCTTCCAGTGGATTTTTAATGGATTCGGGGACCTACAATAATGAAATACAAGTTTTGTAAATAATCTCAGTTCTTGTCTTTTTGAAAAAATATTTTTAAACCACATTAATACCCTCAAATCATCCAGAAATTTGTCTTATTGGCATTTTCATGGCTTACTGCATAGAAGTTCACTTTTCAAAAGAATATCTTAAAACATAGTGATGATAAGTGCTGTTTAAAAGTTATTTCATATGTTATCATGTGCAAGTTTTCCTGAATTTTTATTTTTAAAATTTTTCTTTTTTTAATATTTTATTTCTGAGAGATTGAGAGAGAGAGAACATGAGCAGGGGAGGGTCAGAGAGAGAGGGAGACACAGAATCCGAAACAGGCTTCAGGCTCTGAGCTAGCTGTCAACACAGAGCCCAACGGGGGGCTCGAACTCATGAACCGCGAGATCATGACCTGAGCTGATGGCGGACGCTTAACCGACTGAGCCACCCAGGCACCCCCATGAATTTAGATATTTAATAAATTTTAGACATACAATGCAAATCTATGTGCACGTTAATAATATTATTGTTTAGTGTATTCCTTGGCCTTTACTAATTCCCATTGAAGGCTTATCAGTTACTAGAGTCATTCCTTTCAGTTTGGAAGAACATTTATTTTGTAATGTCACATTTTGCAGAATGGCTATATAGAAAACATGTGATGACATGATTATAAGGCAGTCTTGTACTCTCCAATGTTAATGTTCACTGCTCTGCATTGACATGCTTTTCTTTTTTATTTCTTCATTTTATTGCAACAACCAGTGTGCTCTTAAAAGTGTGGTAGGTAATATTTTGAGTGGGAAAGCATGAAGCTTGTTTCTTTCATATACAGATCCTGAAATGGAAAATGAAGAACCACCATCCTCTGAAAACGATTCTCAGAATCAGAGTGCCGAACAGATTGCACCAACTTCTCAGGAGGTTGATTTGGTTGATCAAGAGTCTCCTGAGGAAAGTTCTCTAAACTCGCAACCAGAATCATTACCTCCAGCAGATACGGACAATGCTGCAAGTGTCTCTCCTTCTGAACAGATTCCCGACCCCATGGAAAACCATGAGACTATGAGTCTTGATGGTGAATGTACAGATTTAGATAACCAGCTTCAAGAACAATCAGAAACTGAGGAAGACTCCAATCCTAATGTTAGCTGGGGTAAAAAGGTCCAGCCTATAGACTCCATATTAGCAGACTGGAATGAAGATATAGAAGCATTTGAAATGATGGAGAAAGATGAACTATGACTCACTAAAGAATCTGGTGGTAGGTATTTAAAAAGAAAAGGCAAACTGTGGTTAACAGACACCCTGATACTAAGCAGGCTCTCTCCTGGGAGTCTTTAAGTATGGTGATGAACAACCACGTTCTGACTGAGACCGTTAACACAGGAGTCTGGAGCATGCCGTGTTAGAATTGACCTTGCTTAAAACCGTCCCATCAAAAATGGAAACTCACGCCCCTCCCCCTCCCCCCACCCTGCCCCCATGACAGCATCACGCCACCCTGCCGCACCTCAGGCCAGGAAAGGATGGCTGGGCATTCCTAGGAACCACATTTCTGCAGTCTTGTCAGATAGATGAGAAACCAGTTTGGTTAACAGTGGAGTGGAGTATAGGAATTTGTATAGCTTTCTAATTAAAGGAAGCTCAGCTTTCTTGGTTTTGGGGTTAAAGGCTCTTTGGGGGAAAGTACAGCTGAGCACTGTGGGCATTCTGCTCTGCTGCCTCCACAGAAGCACTCAGAGCGACCTAAGTGACTGTGGAGCAGATGCGTCATGGTGACAGCAGCCTTTGCTCCTCACTCTCACTTGCTTCATTGTGTAACAACTGATCAAGATGACTAGATTTTTTTCTTTCTTAACAATGTCCTTTTCATTTAAACCAAAGGTGAAGCCATTGTGCTTTCTCAGTGAGTTCTCCGCATAAAGGCTAATCATTGGGACCAGGGGAAAAGGTCATATACTGTATTGTGGGAATTGGTTACTTAATACTTTTGAAAAATGGAACAAGGGAGAAACTGTAATGTTGTGGTATGAACTTGCCATTGAGCCTTCCATTGGGATGGCTGTGACTAACCTGAAATGGCACTTAAAGTTCTGTCCTTGTAGGGCAAATTATAAATCCTTTCCAGTTCATCGCTCTTAGAGGTGATTACCTCTAGCCATCAGCCTTACTCCATCCCATGTTTAGTATGCAATTTGAGCCGCC